GAGGTTTCAATAACCTTGTAGACATGGGATGGGAACAATAATGTGGTGAAGACTCGACTCATTTGCCCATTCAACTCCTCTCCTAACGTGCATGGCTTTTGTTGTAATCACGTCAACTGTATATAAAATAGGTTCATTGCAAGCAACCATAAATCTCCCTGCATCCTCCCAAGAAACCACTTAGGCCTCCAGATAAGGAATTCATATCAAGAAATGCATCAACATTAATCATAGCGAATCCCTCCTTTGGTTTCTTCCAGACACTCATATTGCTAGGAATCCCCTTACAAGATGCTTTAATATTGCTATTTGTAATCAATTAGATCGACATGCCCACATGTGACAGAGAAAACACTTGCTCACCATGTACTACATATCTTCGGCACCACCATATATGCCATGCTGATGTAAGGACAAGATCTTTGATATTAGATGAATCATAGTTCAATGGCGCTAACTCCGGCATATAGAGTAATTCTTCGAGAACTACACTTCCATCCCGGTCCACTTGTAAAGTCATGTCATTCATATCAGCTACATCCAGTATGTTCCATGTCTCCCTTGCATTCACACACTCAAAGAGTGTGTGCTTTATATCCTCACAATGTATATCATCAAGGGCATTGGCTAGACACGGAGATATGTATGTTAGACAATAAACTAAAGCAAGGCAAGATCCCATGCAATATTTCCATGTAATTTTTTTTACCTTTGCAGCAACCAAACATTTCCATATGTTTTTCCAAACGGGGTTTAGCAATGATCTAGTGGCAACTTCAAGGTTTGTTTCTTTTTCTCCAAAATGATGTAGCCATTTACCATGATATGATGACAACAGATAAGTTATTCTTCGACAACAAAATCCTGAAGCCCATGTTACCCATCTTTGAGTTAATAAGATCATAAACCGCACCTATAAGGCTTCTTCCTTTAGGAGTAATCAATTTCCCATTTGGACTATTCAACACCCAATCATCATCTCATATGTTGGTCAGTGTTCCCTCTCCGACATGCCAAATACATAGACTATTAAAAGTTTTCACTCCGGCTAGGATACACTGCCAAGTGAATGATGCACCACTTTTCATCTTTGCATTCAAAAGTTCTCCATCAAGATAATATTTGGTTCTCAATACTATTGCACATATGGACTCAGGGTCACAAAGAAGGCGCCATACTTACTTTGACTACATGGCAGGATTAAATCAATGTGGGTCATGAAAACCATCCTCCCCTTGGCTTAGGAATACATAACTTCCACCAGGTAAACCAGTGCATCTTCTTATGGTTGACATCATCCCACCACCAGAATGCAAGATTGCATCCATGATTCCTTTACGACTTTTTTGGGAAGCTTGAATACATATATCACATATGTTGGTATGGCTTGAACCACA